AGTAGAAAAAATGTGAAGATCATGAAATGAGGTTATATTGGCAGGAAATCAGAAGGCCAGATTTGGCCTTGCTCTAATGTAAAGGTTCTGTAGACATTAAAGTTGATTCGTCGAGAAGGATTGCTTGCTGACATATGCCAAGCGATGCTGCAGGAGAAGGAGGGGAAATTGAGGATGCCCCATCACTGGGGAGAATGCTGAGTGCACAACTCAGCGGCCGAGCGCCAGCAGGATCCATGACCTCCAGGAAGGGAGTGTGAAGTACGATGATCACTCAGATTTCTCCTGGCTGTGTTATTCATGACAGTTACGGCTAGTAGTCTTTTATAAGGTTACATCCCAAACCGGCCATCTGTCATTAGAAAACAGGGATGCCAGTACACGGTCTGCTTTCATTTCCACACGCCACTTGCTTTAAAGATCCCTGTGCTGGGAACAGAGTCCCCTCTTGGGTTTCAAGAAGTGGGTAGTGATGTGACGAGGCAGCTCACGGAGCCCCGGGCAGGCTGAGCCCTACCGTTCCTCCCTGAACTGGGAAACTAGTTAAGAGCAACAGCATTAGAATGGAATGCCTTAAAGTAGGCGGATATGAGAGTCATCCAGCATTCCACAAAAGGTTGTAGTGAGAATATAGATGAAACTGAAGTGATCTTTTCCCACCTAAAACCACTCACTTGTGAAGTCCATAAAGCACGCCCTTAGTAAACAAGGTGCAATTGGGCAACTGATTTAGCCAACAAGTCTTGCCTTTAAAACTACTACTGTAAGCACTATACAACCCAGGCTTACTGTGTTCATTTTTTAAAATAAGCTGTTAGACGCTGAGTTGGTTATCATGCAGTGGTCTCCTAAATCAGTCAGAACGTCAAGCCACATGCTCCTCCATCTTACACCTGCAAATTTCTTTTCAAATAGTAGTAGTTTTCGGGTTATCCAGACAGTTTGCCCCAGAGTATGCAACATGCATCTAAGGCTTGTTTGGGGGAAGGCTTCGTGCAGTACCGACAGACTCAGTAGCCTTCTTGCACAATGCCATTAATCCATTATTTTCCAGTTGGAGTGGGCTTAATTATATAGACATTGCAGACATACACAACCAATTTGGTCAGGCGAATGTGATAACCACTACACGATGGAAACCTACACAATAGGTTGTCGATCTAATTTTATGATAATTACATGACCATTTGTTTCAGTATCTCCAAGGCATAGGTATCTAGAAATGTAATTGTACAGTTACTTAGTCTACATTATTCACAGATATTTCCACAAGTATTTCTAATAACAATAATGTCCTCATTTTTTAAATGCCTTGTGGGAATCATTAGTAATTGTTTAGGAACATTTTTATTAAATTCCTCTCTGGGAAGGGGACTGCTAATGTGGCATAATGCTTCATTTCTAAGAACAGAGTTTATAATTTCTGAAAATAAATGTTTCTCATTCTTATATTTTGGAAATCAGTTATAAGTCTATTACTACTCCAAAATATATGAAATGTTTTTCTAAACTACTACTCCAAAATATATGAAATAGTTTTCCAAACATAACTAAAGATTATTCTAAAAGCATTGAATAATTGGATACCATTAATGTGGACACAGAGACTGACTCATTTAAAGAGAAGCTTATCTTGGACTTTAATTTCTGGATGAAAATTGTCTAGTTTTCAATTTAAGGATTATTCCACCTCAGAGGCGGAAGCACAGACAGAAAGCTTTGAAGTTCTCCCTTTTCTCCCCTTCATCTATTTCTATACCAGCTTTCATAAATATTAGGCTTAAATCATACTGTGTTACTACAAATATAACTGAATTATCTTTTTTGAGGGTCTAAAGGGTGCCAGCTCTTGTTCTAAGTGTTTTGAAAATATGTCATGTACACTTTTATTGGGTTTTGTTCATCCATTGTGTGTATCAAAAGTAGGGTTAGAAAACTAAAAGATATTATAAGCTAAGAATGTTACTAATAAGATTCTTAGTGTTTGTCCATCAATCATAGGATGTCCTAGTAGGAAAACATTTTAACCAAAGAAATATTTGTTCTTAATGATTTCTCTATAACCCAAATAGGAATCTTCATAAAAACAAGTCAGAAACTTCACATATGAATTATATAAACACAGATGTCACCTTTTCTTGAAACCCTTGTTAGTATCTACCAGTCCTAGCATAACTAATTGTGTACATCTCTTTTTTTTTCTTTGAGACAGAGTCTCACTATGTCACCCTGGGTATTTTGCTAGGGAGTCACAGTTCACAGCAACCTCAAACTCTTTGGCTTTAAGTGATTCTCTTGCCTCAACCTCCCAAGTAGCTGGGACTATAGGCGCCCACCACAACGCCCGGCTATCTAATTATGTACATTCTCGATGCATGTGTGAGCCTTTATAGATATCTCTACTAGAGATTTTACTTTTACTATTTAAAAATTGTGCATTGTTTTTCTTCATTTCTACCAAATTGAGAGCTAAGGGGACCTCCAAGTAGCCGGGACCATAGGTACCCGCCACAACACCCGGCTATCTACTTATGTACATTCTCGATGCATGTGTGAGCCTTTACAGATATCTCTACTAGAGATATTTACTTTTCCTATTCAAAAATTGTGCATTGTTTTTCTTCACTTCTACCAAATTGAGAGCTAAGGGGACAGCAAAGATCACATTACAGTTGAGAATACAGACGTCAAAGCCTGATATCTCAAGCTTACATTTGTTAGCAGTGATTTTGAGCAAATTGCATAACCCCTGTGCCTCGATTTCCTCGTCTATATAAGACGAGTTTACCAACTCACCAGTGTGGATTCAGGGAGTTGATATTTTCAAAACACTTAGAACAGGAGCTGGCACCCTTCAGACCCTCAGCATATCGTAGCTGTTCTCTTACTCATCTTTATTTTATGGCCCTGTGTCTAGCCTTATTCTTCAATTATGGCAAATAATCAGAAAAGATTTAGTGAACTTTGCCCAGAGGAAGGAAGGGTGCTCTTCTAGATCAGAGATCTACGTGGGACTCTCTGACAATATTGACATATTTTTCTTTTTTTTCTCTGTTCTTAATCAGCTTAATGATTTTCCTCTTGTTTGTATCTTTATGTATTTAATTTCTTTCTTCATAACACAAAGTCTTAATTTTCTTACATGAGATCTGTTTGGGGAAAAAATACACCATTAAATTGCCTCATTCTCGTCATGAATCCCTTCCTTCCACACTGCTCTTCTCAAATGGCCCTGTTGTTTGCCTGTGTTGAGCTGTGGGATGGGAGCGTTGGTTTCTTGCTGATTCTTTCTATGTCTGATCTGTTCTCTTCCACAGTCTCTGGTTCACCATCTCTCTGGGCATTCTTTCTCATGGACTTGTAACTGTAGTTCGAACCTCTTTCAACTTCAACAGTTGAAAGAGGTTCAACTGTTTTTCAACCTTTTTCTCATCTATTGTTAAACTTTCACATCACAGTTAAATAATGTTGTTCAAAAAACAAATAGTAAAACCGAAGAATATATTTACTGTGCTTTGAACTTTTTTGAAAATAATTTAATGAATGATCTGTAAAAATGTTCGTAGCACACCTAAGACCCTCTCATGGCAAACCAGTTGAAAATCCCTACCCTAAATGTTCTGAGCTGTGTTACCAGATGAAGAGGGTCTAGCCGCACCTCACTGTCAGCCAGATGCAGAGACAGGGACTAGGTCCACCAAACTTTCTTATCAGAAAGTCCGCAATTCTGGAGAACACATAGAGTAGCCTCTCCATTCTGTTCTGCCTCAGTTACAATTCTGATAGTTCTTATAATGGGAATACAAGGAAACAGACCTAGGAAGTTTTAACTTTATATGGTAGGAAGGAATATCAAAGCAGTCTAGATTCTGACAATGCAAAATGTTTAAACAACAGAAAGGTAATTTTACTTCAACAAAATCTCCAAGACAATCCTTGTAGATAAATCGTATTATCAAAGACCCTTTACCAGGATCACAATACCTGTTGTCTATGTGTGACTCCTTCCTCAAGTCTCCAAGGTAAACGTCCTCATGGTCACGGAGAAACCTTAGGTAGATAATCACGGAAGGTGCGGAGAGAGGGCTGACCAGCCAGGGGGAGCCGTGCTCCTTAGCTTAGCCTCTCACACTCTGTCCGCAGGCCGCTTCTCTGGCAAGGAGTACTGTTGCTGAGTTCTTTTCTGCTGTCATAATCTATGTCCTAAAAACCAACTTTTTTTTTGTTTGTTTAATATTGTCTGAGACCCACTGACCATTTTCCAAGTCTACTTTTCTCTTCCAAAATTCAAACTTTCAAAAGGAGTGAAAAAGGAAAACATTAATTATTTCTTATCATGTGCAAGGTTTTCTTAGCCAAAATTTTAAAATTACTCAAACATTATGAGAGTCTTCTGCTATTTGTAAATCTCCGCGAGTGTTAGCAGATGAAGACACAGGCTTTTACCTGGCAAATGCGTCTTGGCATATGCATGCTAGAGGCAGCAGGGGCTGTAGCCTGGCCCGTGAAGATTGTATCTGGTTGCCTCTCTAACTGTTACTTTTCCTACCACATTTTTTCCTTGTTGAATGGGAAAATGAATACAAGTGAAGATGAAAATTGAAGACCTTAGCTATGCCAGTATTGAAGTTTATCTTACCCATCCATCCTCATTCCAGAATCAATTGGTAGCAAGCATCTGATAAGGAACAGTGCCAGTATCTTAAATGTATTTAGCTTTGATGCCACTCTAACTCGTTCAAAAACAGCCAGTTAGTGTTGACATAAAGTAATTAATATTCAGCAGCCACTGGGCTAATTTTCACATTATTTATTACTAATTACACATTTCAAATTATTAAGGCAATACTACAGTCTGAGTAAATTTTTTTTCTTTTTTGAGACAGAGTCTCACTATGCTGCCCTCAGTAGAGTGCTGTGGCATCACAGCTCACAGCAACCTCAAACTCTTGGCTTAAGCAATTCTCTTACCTCAGCCTCCCAAGTATCTGGGACTATAGGCGCCCACCACAACGCCTGGCTATTTTTTTGTTGTTGTTGCAGTTGTCATTGTTGCTCACTTGGCCCAGGCCAGGTTCGAACCTGCCAGCCTCCGTGTATGTGGCTGGCACTGTAACCACTATACTATGGATTCCAAGCCAGTCTGAGTAAATTTTATCTTAGAATTGTGAAATGTAATAGATAGGAAAACTTTAAAGAGTTTTACTATTTTTGGTACTAGTTACAAGCCTTTAAAGTTTATCTCCTTAGGAAGAAAGTTACTTAATAAACAGCATGTATGAAAAATAATATTATGAATCTTTATAAAATCATTATCTATCACTCTAATTAATATGTCTTTGGCCTATGTATTAATAAAGGCTATGTCCCTTATTCTAAACCTCTGTTCACTCATGTGTAAAATAAGGGTAATAATTGTAAATTACTTCATAGAATTCTTATGAGTTAAAGTATGTAAAACATTATTATTCTGCCTGGCAGTAAGTATTCAAAAAATGTTAGCTAATTAACCTCTGATATAACCGCATACTCCAATGAGGTATGCATTCTCAGTTTTCTTTTTAAGTCTTCAAACAGAACAATCATAAGACCTAATTTGTGCCTTTTTGGATTAATGAAAATTTCCAAGAATGATAGCGTTTAGAATTTGTTCTATGAAGTTATCTGTGTCATACCAAGAAAGCAGAGAGCTAGAGAGCTTCATTTTATTTGTGCTCTGGTTTTTGTTCATAATCCAACCAGAATACAACTTCTGAAACTTTATCATGTTTTGTTTTATAAGAAATAAAATGTAATACACTTGAATAGGTAGCTACCACCAAGTATTTCAGATGACCTTTTACAGGATACAAAGCTACAGCTCCTTGTCACAACATTAGGGGGATATAATGTTTAGTATTGGTGTCAGTTTTGCTGTTTTTTAATTAAAAATCCCAACAGTCTAAACTGCAAATAACTTCATTGAATAAAGGCGTTTTTGTTATTATTGCCACACTGCACAGTAGGATCCAGCTGTAGAAAGTTAGCTGTGACTTAGGCTGATGTCTATGAAGTACATCTAATCCATCTCATCAAGTTTATAGAGGACTTGAAGTGTAGCCAAGAAAATTAATGAGTGGCAGAATTGACTGAACTCAGCTGTGGACTGATCATGTTTCTTTCCACTATTCCTGTACTTGGGTGGACCGCTTCAAGTATAAATATGTGTTAAATGCGTGAATAAATGAATGAATGAATGAAACCAACAACAAACTGATAAACAAATTGTGTATCAGTGGTTCCAAAGTACTGAAGGTGACATTGTCTTCTTTAAACAGTAAGGTAGTGGAATAAGGAGCCCATGGGGAGACTTTCAGTGGAGGACTGTTCTTTATTCTGTGGCTTTAAGTTGTTGGCATTTGAAGTGTCCTGTCTTTCATGAAATGAGAATGCTATCCTATAAGTTATTTTTTGGTGGGAGGATGTTTTTATACTACCCTCCCCTAGGAGAAATTTCAAATGTGTCAATCTTTTGTGGGCCTTAAGATGTGTTCCTGACATGTTACTTGCCCAGGAAATCAACAGTTACAGATGTTGGTTGAGTTTTAAAGGTGGCTTCCATTGTTCCCTTTCAGGTCCTTCAGTTGAGACCAAAGAATGGTGTCCGGGGATTGCACAAATCCCTCACAGACATAGCCCTGGAGCACCATGAGGAGTGTGACTGTGTGTGCAGAGGGAACACGGGAGGGTAGTCACCACCAGCAGCCCCAGCTCAGGGCTGCACACGGCACAGCAGCTGATTCTGTTAGAGGACTTCTGCATTATCTCGATCCTTACTCTCGGTCGTTTGCTTCAAGGATCTTTCACCTTCAAGATTCCCAGTGCGTCTAAAAGAGGAGACACCAAGCAGAGTTAGAAGTCATGCAACAGCTCTTTTGAGAGGAGGCCCAAAGGACAGGAGAAAAGGTCTTCAATCATGGCAAGAAAATCCAATCTTGTAAATCACTATCTAGTCCGACGTTACTGTGTGCCTATGCCACTAGCTGCATTCTGTATTTCAGTTGTCTTAATGTGGCTTGGATTAGTGTCAGTACAGGAACAAAGCTCCGTGCAAGTGAGCACCCGATTCTGTTGCTTTGCTTAGCTAAAAAAAAGCTCCATGTTCTGGGTCTAAAATCACAGAAAATCTGGAATTTTTTCCCTTATATTCCCATAGATAAGCCAGAATGTTCTGCAAATTTGGTTTTGAAAAAGGAACTATGTTGCTATGAATTAAACTTGTGTCATACTGATAGGAAAGACTGGATTTTCCATATTTCTTGTTAAAAGTTCCACTGTTTCGAAGAAGAGAACTCCATTCATGTTTTAGAAGAGACAGACCTGAAAAGAAGAGTGGCCTTATCTTCACTTTATAAGTTGGTTTATTTGTTTTATTGTGTACATTTTTATATTCTCCTTTTGACATGATAACTATTGGCTTTTCTAATCTTGTTAAATATTATCTATTTTTACCAAAGGTATTTAATATTCTTTTTTATGCCAACCTAGATCAACTATTTTTAGCTTGGTAAATTTTTCTAAACAGAATTGCTATAGCCAGAGGCCCAAGGATGGCATACAATATTGTTGCTCTGACAAAAATACATGTATTTTATTCTCGTATGGTGCTAGAGCTTAGACTAATCCGAATTTTAAAATACTGAAATGGGAAATCAATAAAATTGGTAAGTTGAAAAGACTTTTTGAAAATAATTAAATTATATCTTCCACCTCTGTTATTGGAGAAGCAAATAGAAAGCAACCTCGTAAAGGAGACATTCAGATCCAGTCATTACTAACCTAATTCTCTTTTGGGGAAATATGAGCCTAGCTCAGAAGTTCATAAAGCACCTTGAAAAAAGAGACTTGGCAGCTTCCTGACAAAGCGTGCTACGCTGTGCTGTAGGAACACATCCTATTTATTGTGATGTTATGGTTTTATTACCTTTAAACTCTGTTCCATACGCTTGTATAAATACATGGATATTTTTATGTACAGAAGTATATCTTTTAACCAGTTCACTCATTGTACTCTTTGGCAATTGAAAAGGAAATCAGTAAAATACTTTGCTTGTAAAATGCTTAATATTGTACGTAGGTTATGTGGTGACTATTTGAATTAAAAATGTATTGAATCATCAAATAAAAGAATGCAGCTATTTTCAGGAGAAATTCAGTGTGTGTGTATGTGTGTATGTCCAAGATTTCTCCCTTGGACTCAGAGGAAATGAAAATGATAAGTTCTGTGTTACCATGATTTTCTCATTATGCAAAAGCACAAGTCAGGACAAAAGATAGAACAGGGAACGGATTTGTTGAGGGTTCCCTGCCTTTTATTTCCAATGCCTTTGAGCAATGGTTTCCTTTTTCTCACTAGTCTTAATACGAGTTTCTGGTGAAGCAAATTTCACCTGACTTGAGAGTTGTTGTGTGATGGATGACATGCTTCGTGGTAGATGATATAATAGTGTGAAATTGGAAAAAAAATAACCTCAGAATTTTTCACCCATGTCTTTATTTTCAGTGAGAACAGCTAAAGGAGGTGAGCACAGATTGATTTTGTGTGTGGATTAAAGTATTATACTGAAATAGCACACTTTGAGGTTGGCTTCCAAAATTCCCTACGTAGATTTCTAATCAGAACTGGGATCTTCAAACCCCTTTCATTTCCTCAACCCTTTAACTTGTTGGAAGACCACCAGTGCCCAGAGCCGTTTGTCCCTGACTACTCTTCCAGGCAGTACTTTCTACCATGCTTTTATATTTTGCAGCTCACCTACTTGGCCCCCAAATACATGAAAAACAACATGGGCATATCTGTTCTGTTTCATTTCCTTGTCTTTTCCTAGTTACCTAGTAGATATAACTCTGTGGAAAATGCAAGGCAGTTGGCAATTTACAACATCCATTAGTAAAGACACTATTAAGTCTTATAGTAAATGACCTGATAAAATATATTTAATCCAGCAGTTCCATCTTTGAATGGAATACTTCCTTTCCCTTTTATCTTTTTAATATTTATTTTTTTGTTTACTTATAAAATGTTGGCAGCCAGAAGAAATTATTCTGTAAAGGTAATAATCTCCACACTGTTGGCAGTCCATTCATGGAAACAGCACGAGGACTAACCTCTACAACCACTCACTCATAGTTCGTAGTGTATATTACACTAAAAAAAATTCATATAGTAAAAGTTCATGTGACCCTGGTTTCTCAGAAGTCTGGGATATACACACACTGTTTTGTATATCAAATCTGTATCATGCCTTTGTCCCTGAGCAATGGACTGTTTTGCTTAGTGATATGTATTAAAATAAAAGAAGCCTTAATTATCATCAGGCAGGTGTTCATGACTACATTTTTCATTTCTCCATCTCATTTCTATCCCCCTTTGTATGCACTTTGAAAAGTACAAAGAGCAGAGTAATAAGAATGCACTGTTAGAAACCTCCTGGCACGAATTGGTCAGCCCCGGTATGTCACTCCCTGCAGGTGCATGGGCTTCTGCTTATGACTTAGTTTCAGGAAAGGCAGAAAAATACAAGTTTTATACTTAAGGTAATGTCCATATTTCCAAAAGGATAGTGTAATATTCATATTCCCTCTGATATTTTAGTCTGCTTTAATTATGCACACATATAAACATGGTTAAAAATTATAGATACCATCACCCTTTACATTAATAGGAAGGAGTAGAAAAATTGAAAATAGAGTAGATGTCTTAGTGTTTTAGCAGTTCAGACTGCTATAATTACAATACTATAGACTGGGAAGCTTAAAAACAATGCATTCATTTTTCACTGTTCTGAAGGCTGGAAATCTGAGGTCAGGGTGCTAGCAAGGTCTGGTTGTGATGAGGAACTTTGGAGGTTGCAGGCTGCCAACTTCTCATTATATCCTTGCAGGGTGGAAAAGAGGGTGAGAGAATTCTCAGATTCCCATTTGTAAGGACACAATCCCATCATGAGGATGTTATTCTCAGGACCTCTCCTAAATGTTCCACCTTCCAATATCACGTTTGGGACTAGGGGTTTCAACATAGGACTTTTGGCGGCATGCAAACATTCAATCTGTTACAATAGGTTAACTGCTTTTGCATCCTGTTTTCTCTCTGTGCTGCTTATGTACACCATCAGCAAGACTCACTGATCCCATCTCGCTCATTGTTGTGTCTATCTTCCGTCTCTGTAGCTGCTGCTCCAGTTTGGCCCCTCGGTAGGTTCATCAACCATTGTGATGGCCACAGCTGCCACTTTCCCATCTTCTTGCCTCTGCCGTCACTCAGACCATCCTCCACACCACCAGCAGAGGGATCGTTCAGACCAATTGGATTATGTCACTTGTGTACAAATTTTCTAATGGAACACCACAAGATCACAGTTTAATATTTGTAAAGCAGGCAATTCTTAATAATTTCATATTTTACCACTTTTCTGCACATTTTGCACCATCAGACCTAACACACAGGTGAATACCTGCAGCTTCCTAAAAATACCCAAATCACCTCCCGTTTCTGTGCTGGCACATGTTGTGCTCTCCTTGGAGCTCCAGCCCCACACTCACCTACCTCAGGAACTTCCTCTGAAGTCTCCCTTGCTCTTCTTCCTTCCTTCCCAGGGGCATCACTTGCCTTATGCTCTCAGGAATATTTCAATTAGAAATACTGTCATATTTTGTCATAATATGGCTGTCTTCATTTTGATTTCTCATTAGACTCCCAGTCTAACAGGACTCCTAGTGGGAATTATCTCACTATTCTTTCCCCAGTGCCCAGTTGGGGGTTAGTAACAATTTTCATCAATGAGTAAATGAGAGGGATATACAAATGAATAAGTTTTAAAAAAAAATACATATAGAACTGAATATAACAGGAACACTGGAGTTTCTAAATATCTCTGAACTTCAGTTACCTAATCTATAAAATGAAGGAGTTGGCAGACAGGAGCAGAGTACTTCTTAGTTCTAAGCAGTCCAGTCCACTAGTTCTGTTGGGCATCTGTCCAAATGACTAGAGCATGTTGACAAACATTTCTGTTCATTATGGCACAAGATGATGAAGTTATTGTTTTCCTGAACAATGCTTTAAGAATATATATTTGATTTTCCAATTAATGACTTTCCTGCCAACCTTATCTCAGGTATCACTTCTTTTCAGAGTTAAAACGTGCTGATTGCCTTTATGTTATTCATATCTTTGATACTTGTCCTATTTAATGATTACTTTCTTGTCATAATTTTAAAAACTCTTTAAAATGTGAACGTATAAACATATCTATGATTGATTATTCATAATCTCTTTGTTTACTTTTTGGACTAATTTCTCATCATTAGTCCTTACAGATGGTTCCAGTGAATACTCATAGTTACCTGAAAACACCAGTATCTCCCCCCCCTGCCTTTGGTAGCACACACTGTGTTCTTCTTTTAAAGCACTTTCCAGCACTCATCTATCTCAGGTTCCTCTTGAGTTTACTCAAGATTAATTACATCTTTTGTACTTTACCTCGGAAAGCATTTGCACATCATCTGTGCCAGATACAATTTCTTTCATAGACGTTAAGTCATTAGAGTCAATCTTATCCAGTTTAAATATTTATAAAATTTAAAGAAAAATATAACATTTTTAGAAAGTATATTTTTAAGGTTAATAACGGTCATTTTAAAAATGATGTGTGCAATCCCATCTGGCTTTATTACATAAGCTGATAAGTTGATCTTAATATTCATATAGAAATTTCAGAGACTCAATATAGAAAAGTACAAATTTAGAAAACTCATATTTTAATTTCAAAACTTACTATACAGCTGCAGAAGTAGTGTGGGAGGGTCAATAATGTTACACATCTGATCAGTGGAATAGATTTGAAAGTCTAAAAATAAACACTTAACATTTACAGTCAATTGATGTTTCCCAAGGGTTATAAGAAAACCCCATGGTGAAGGAACAGCCTTTCAGACAAATGGTGGTAAAACAACTGGATATCTACATGAGGAATAAATGAGCTTGGATTCCTTCTTCATATCATATACAAAGATTAACCCAAAATGACTCAAAGACCTAAATGTGAGAGATAAAGTTATGAAATTCTAAACAAAATACATAGAAACGTTTCATAAGTTTAGATAAGGCAGTGGTGCTTAGATAAGACACCAAAAGAATAAGCTACAAAATAAAGAAAAGTAAACTGGACATCATCAAAAAAAAGTTTGTACTTCAAAAGATACCATAATAAAAATGAAATGATAACCCACAGTATGCAAGTCATATGTCAGGTTAGGGTCTTGTATCAGAATATATGAAGAACTCTTACAACTCCACAATGAAAAGGACAATTGAAAAATGAGCGAAGGGCTAAATAGACATTTTTCAAGAAAGGCATACAATGGTCAATAATCACATAAAAAGATAATTAACATCATTAGTCATTAGTGAGTACACTGGCCCAATCATAGCTCATAGTAACCTTGAATTCCTGGGCTCAAGTGATTCTCCTGCCTCAACCTCCCAAGTAGCTGGGACTACAAGTGCATGTCACCATGCCTGGCTAATTCTTCTGTAGAAATGAGGTCTCATCATCCTGCCCAGTCTATTCTTGAGCTCCAAACCTCATGTAATCCCTCCACCTCAACCTGCCAAAGTTCTTGGCAAATGTGTGGTCTATTTTGAATGTCTTCTTTCACCTAGCATAACATTTCCTAGGGTCACTCCTGCTAGAGCAGTATCAGTACTTCATTGCTTTTTACTGCCTAAAACATTCCATTGTGTAGATATGCCATATTTTTTATCCATTTATCAGTTGATAAATGTTTGAGTGGTTCTCATTCTTTTGTTATTGTGAAAAATGTAGTTAAGAACATTTGTGTGGAGGGTTTTCTATATATGTATGTGTGTGTGCAGCCCAGTGTGTATCTGGGAATGAAATCACTTAGTCCTGCTTCACTCTACATTTCAGCTCACCATAAGTAAGAGTTCCTGTCTCCCCACATCCTCACTAGCATGCATTACTGTCTGCCTTTTTAATTCTAGCCATTTTAGTGAGTGTGTATCTCATTGTAATTTTCATTTGTTTTTCACTAATGACAAATGATGTCGATTACCTTTTTAGTGAATATTTCATATAAATGAAATCATACACTGGGTGATAGAGCAAGGTCCTGTCTAAAAAAAAAAA